AGAAACAGCAATGTCAATTTGAAATGAAAACCAGCAGAAGTTTTCCCTTTGATAAATTGGCATGGGAAGATCTCAACCTTTCTCTCCACAGATTAGTTTTTAAAACCAGACCTGGACGAATGGTTGGACTTGATGATCTTAAAGGTCTCTTCCAACCTAAAGAATTCTATGAAGAAACCTGTCCTGAGCTCATCTGCTGCCACACTCAGCTCTGTTTTTTTTTCCTAGTGTGTTAACTCTTTGCAAAAAATCCCAGACAAGGTAAATCCCTCCCAGGTCCAAATCCAAATCCCACTTCCAGCACTGCAGTTTGGGGCACACCTTGTTTCAGAGAAGCTGCTGAGACCCATCCCACTTATCCAAGCTCGTTTTTATTGACCTCTGGCAGGTATTGCAAGTGCTGTGCCTGGCAGTTTATCTCCTTCACCACGGAGGAGTTCAGCAAGGCTGGGGAGGAGGGATGCAAACAAAAACGTTATTAGCATCTTATTTGGCTCTTAATGGGTAGAAAAGATGCAAGATTCTTTTGGCACAGTGGTACGTTTTCTCCTCCAAGAAAAAAAAAAAGGGAGGAAAAAGGACTTTAATTGAAGCCTGCAATGTTGTATAAATGGAAGATCTAAGTTTTAATTGAAAAATAATTATAACCACTTAATCATTTTAAATGAGGGCTGTAATTGCAGTCAGTTCATAATAGCCAAATACAGACACTTAGATTCCTGCAATAAAGCAGGGATGGTACAGTTTGATTTGCTAATAGCTCTTCCACTTCTCTCCTCTTTTGTCTCAAAGATTAATTCAGGCAAGGGCTATTAGTGCCGTTAATTGGTTCTGCAATTTAGACCTTGTGCTTGTGAATGAGTGACTGATGCAGACCTATCAGCCAATAATGTGAACACTTTGTCAATGTGTTTCTCATTGTCCAGCTCCTCATAACTCCCCTGGCAGCTTCTTCCACCACCCAACGCTGGCTCCCAAGAGGGATCAAGAAGAGTGGGTCTCCTCCGGGGTGAGGGATTCACTTAGCTTTAGATAGGTCACCCAGATGCCTTTGAAAGGAAGGCTGGCTTATGAATAAAATAATTAGGCAGGCAAAGCGTCCTCTTTGTCAGGGACAAATCCCATATTCAGGAGGAATCTTCACCACTTTCCTAGAAGAAGGAGCTTCAACGAGGTTGGGAAGTTGGTGAGGAGAGGAGTTGGGCGGTGAGTTGACATCGCTGGTGGGAAGGGGCTGCTGGCTCTGGGCAGCCCCCTTCCTAAGGGTGGTAGGGGTGAGTAAAGCCAGTCTGAATCACCAGAGTCACAGAGAACACCAACTCTACTCTCAAGTTCAGTTAAGCAGTCATGGCACCAGTGATGGGCAGTGGGAAGAGCTGGTGGGCACAGTTGGTGGGAACTGGGCTAACGGGAGCAGCGGGTAGCATCTTCTCTGATGAGGCCCTTAGAAAAGCATCCAGGGAAGGCATTGCCCTTGCCCTAGTCATATTTTGGGAGAAAACTGAGATGAGACCATGCCATTTAGTCTTTACTAGCAATAAATATCATTTTAGGCCCACCATGAGTGAAACTGCAGGTCTGATTTCATTGCTCCATCCTTTTCTGTTCTGTTTCTTTTTAAATTGACCTTCTCCCAGAACTTTTTCTTTCTCAGTTGTGTATCATTTATTATTTCATTCTATTAATATATTGATATATTGCATCATCCTAACACAAAAGGACCATATTTATATACTCCATTCTTTATTGTTTACAGCTGATTTATCATTATTCCATAGCCACTTGGACACCATTTCACAGGAAAAGCCAAACCCACCACCACCACCACAATTTGCTGAACATCCTCCTCTTGAGAACAAGTTGTTTTCCTCCAGGGCTGTTTTATCAGCACAAGGAAGATTTTCCTAGTTCCACTTCAAGATGGGAAAAAAAAAAAGGGTTATCCTGTGCTGAGTGTTGCCTTAGCCACCCCAATTCTCCTGTCTCCAGGACCACCAGATCTAGTCAAGGTGGAAGGTAGGAATAAAGAAAAAATCAAACTGTTGCTGAGGTTTGATGGCATACACCAAGCACATGAATATTCACAGGCACATATTTATGCTTTAATCTTATTTGTAGCATCAAAAATACGTTTACAACTGGTTTTCTCTAAAGTTCAGCTGTGGTGGAGTTCTTTTTATCCTGACAGGAGATGCTCCAAGATCTTTGACCCTACAGAGATGTTTTAATCTCCTGCTGTTTTATCCATATTGGAGGTGGCAGCTATTCAGAAGGGGTTTTACAGTGGCTTTCTTTCAATTTTTTTTTAGAAATAAAACAGATTTATTAGCTTTATAGCAGAAATTTAACAGATCTAAAGAAGAGGTTGAAACGAGCTTAAGGTTTTCTGTTTAAGATACTAAATTAGGTAACAAAAAAACACTTTTTACCCTCATTTTTTTTTTTCCTCCCTTTCTTTTGGTTGTTAAAATCTCCTCTCTTACAATGAACAGATCCTGCTGATTAACAGCACTTGGATTTCATACCAAACCTCTTCTCACACTGTTTACTGGAGGGTGGACCAGAGGGGGAAAACCCCTGTCTTGGAATAACCTTTTACAGCAAAGAGAAGTAGGACAGGAAGGGTTTTACTTCAACACTGGGAAATCAAGGAGGAATCACTCAGATGAGAGGTGCTGTGAAAGGTGGGCAGAGGGAGGGCAAAAGGCAAAGGCAAGAGCCCCAGGATGGTGGTTGATCCTCTCAGATGACCCAGGTGAGAGTCTCAGATTGCACTTCAATGGGAGAAACCCTTGTTAAAGGTGCTGGTGAGTTTTGAACAAGGGAAATAAGTGGTACTCTTACATTGAGTTGGTTGGTTTAGGTGGTTGAAAGAGAATCAGTCCTTGATTATTTCCATTGTGAAATATTGCTGGTAGATCAAACCATCCTTTTGGGTCCAATAAGGAAATTTCTGGTTGTGAATGAGCCACACTGGGACCCTGCTCTTCTGGCTGCTGTAAGTTGGCATAGTGATGGAAATAAATGATGATTTTGGGTGAGATCTGTCTCTTTGCAGGTATATTGTGCTTCCCATGCAGGGATTGAGGGGTACCAACAGAGATATGTTCTTCAGACCTCCCAGGTTGATTGAATGCAAGCTGATTTTCTCCTTTTAGTTAATTTATTGAGAACAACTCCTGGTTCTCCTGAGTCTTTCCCCTCTCCAGGTGATCCTGGTTGTGACAAACACAGGGACTGTGTTTGAGCTCCAGACCTAGGTTCTATATTTAGCCATGTGAAACCAGGAAAGCTTTCTGTGATTAAGCTGTGTTGACCGATACCAAAGGTAATTACAGCCACGACATGCAGCAGGGGAGGTGTGTCACCATCATCTGGGTATCAACGTGTCCAGAAAAGGATCTGGGAGGTAGAGTGAATTGTGAAAGCGTGCATGAATCACCAGTGCTGGTCTTTTGGGGGAAACAAGGAAAATGAGTTAACATTCTATTGAAACCAGAGGGCTGTTGGTGGTACCTGGAGTTGTCCTTCCCCTGTTTGATGTTTACTTGACTTTTTTCATGAACAACGTGTAACAAACTTCAGCATGAGGTGTAAAATTCTCAGAATTGTTTTTTGACACTCCAGGATAAATTGAGTGAAAATTTTCCTCATGGATGCTTTCTGATGGCAGGTCAGAGATTTATGAGGAGTTGCTCTTCTTTTGGGTGGTGGAAATGGACTGGATGGCTTTCCAAGGTCCCTTCCAGCTTGCTTGCTTCTCTCAAAAAGATGTAGAAACAAAATAATCTCTAGGATCCAATCATGTTCTCACAACAGGTTGAATCTTCAGAAGAAGCTTTACAGGGAAGTCCCTCTACACACATCTGGGAGAGACTCAGTGGTCCTCAAGCAAGGATGAATGTAGCCAGATGACAGTGGCCCACTTCTTCATGGTCCCCAATGACCTTCTGCTTCAACCATCTAAATCTTACCACACTGGGCTCTGCTTCTTCTGAAGGTGTCTTCCTGAACCCTCCACGTGTCACGTGTGAGCCTGGCACCATTGAAACAGAGCTCACCACCTCCTCCCTCCTGTGAAGAGCAACAGGATGGAACCTGTGGAAAACTGGGCTAGAAAGGAATTGGTGAGGGATGTAGCAGAAAGGGGGGAAAAAACATTACCCAGCAAAGTGATTTTCTGTGATAGGTCAGGTCTCTTAGGTGCTTTTGTCTCATAGTAATAATAGCACCATGTCTCCCTTGCCCTCATTCTTTGTCTCTCTAAACAAGCCCAAATTAATACCTGGATGAGGGGGATAAAACAACTGCAAATGAGAAATTTGCCACTAGTATTTTTTTGCCTTGGTTTGCCTGCTGGACTTGGTCCTCTCAAAGCAAACAGCAGGTTCACACCATTCACTCCTCAGTGACTGCTTTCTTGTCGGTGGGCTCCCAGCCTGACCAAGGCCCCTTGGGCTATTAGTGCCCTCTCCTTTGCTATACCCTTTAATACACCATCCTTTGTTGAAGCATTTTGGATGAGCAACCATCACCAGCTAGAGGGGTTAAACTAATGCCTCACCACTTGGCTCAAAACCATCACCCCTACCAGGGCAGGATTAAGTTCTTCATAATTTTTTTGATTTAACTATGTTGGAGCTCGTTCTCCTGGTTCCTTCTGCAGAAACTTCCCCTTGGCTGTTCCAGAGGGACCTGCTGGTCTCCATCTGCCCTGTGCTGGCTGCACCTCTGCCTGGAGGGAGAAGGTAAACAAAAAATGAGGCGTTCACACCGCACGTAACAAACGGCTCTTGGTACCGAGCGAGGGAAATTATCTCACCCCAAACAGATAAAGGCAAGGGGTAGGTTTGCGTGGTGAGGACCAGACCTCTCCCCACACCCCGCCTGTGACGTAGGCTCTGTGCCTCCACCTAAAAAGTCCCTCCTGGCCTGGCTGCCTGCCCCAGATCCAACTCGTTGGAGGTTGGTACGTGGCGAGGACCCGAGCTCCTGGCGCCATGTCCGTGACGGTTTGCCAGTCCATGGGCTTCGTGGTGTCTGCTTTAGGGATTGGAGGCATCATCGCAGCGACCTGCATGGACCAGTGGAGCACCCAAGATCTCTACAACAACCCGGTGACGGCGGTGTTCAACTACCAGGGCCTCTGGAGGACATGTGTCCGGGAGAGCTCCGGCTTCACGGAATGCCGTGGCTACTTCACCATCCTCGGGCTGCCAGGTAGGGTTTGGGTAGGTGGCAGGGGAGGGCAGAGCCACGGGCCATGTGGCTGGAGATGTGGAGGAGTGGTGGCCACGGGGGGATTTTTTTGGCGCACCCAAATTTTAGCCAAAAGGGGCTTCAGGTGTTCGCCTTGTTTGGAGGACAGCTTTTTTGGGGGCATCTCGACTTGAACCCCACCTCCGTGGCCAAGCTGAGGTTTATCCAAAGCTGTGACAAATGATTCTGCATCAGGTTCTTGAGGTGTTGTTCAGTGGCTGCTCCGTGGGGTGAATTGTGCCATGGGTGGCTTGGGTCTACGCTCCTATCCCAGCTGCGTGGCTGTGAGTGGCTTCCCACCAGAAACCACTAATATTCTTGGCATCAGAGAAGATTCTTCTCTAAGAGGATATGTCACAGTTCAGCTCACTGCATTTCTGTACAGGCTAACACCACCAGGCTGGATTTCTCCCTAATTCTCCTTTGGTTCCAGTTTTTTCTTTCACGGGTATCATTCCTGTCCTGCTTGTGCCCAGAGTATCTAGGGGTGCAAACAATTAGGTTACAACAGGATTATCTGGGTTTTCTTCTTGCCTTAATACAGTGAGAAAAAAGGCACTTAGACTATTATATCCATCTTGCCTCTGTGCTTTGACACAGCAAGAATGGAGGGAAGAAGCCAATTCTATCAGCGAATCACTGCAGAACTTGTGCAAAATGGCCCTTCCCAAACACTCAGAAACAAGCATTGCTCACAGAAATTGCTTCCTTCACAAGCAGCCCACCTCTGTGCAACTCAGACCAGTATAACCCAATTCAGCTGTGGCCTCAGATGCCAGTGGGAGAGGTTTTTCACCTCCTGAGTTGTAGTGGGGATGAGTGGACAAAGGATGACATCCAAAGAAGGATGTTTGAGCAGAACTCGTATTCACACAAAACTTGGCTCCAGCAAGTTGCTTATAGTAAAAAAAATTCAAGTTGCCATATGAGGAACAAATAGAGGTGTAAAGAGCAAATCCTCCCCACCTACACTTCTAATACACTGCACAACTTCAGCTCTAAAAGCTTAAAATTACAGAAAATGGAACTCTACAGAAGAAGCAATTAAACTTTTCGAGCGTTCAGCTCTGGGAACTACTTTGATCTTGGAAGAAACCAGAAGACTTGAGATTTGGAGGTTTTTTTGTTCTTGCAAAATACCTCCCTTGCTAACCTTTTTACAATTCCAAAGCTTCCAGACTGGTGTCTGGAGGGTGGGTGTTGATTTCCTAAAATGAAAATACACAGTAGTGTTGGTGGGGATGGATTTCCTTCAGTTAGCAGAAGGGTTGTGGGAAACTGGTCTGTCCTTCCTCAGCTATATCCAGCAAGCTCTGTGACTCCCTTCCAGTTGGGGACAGAAATGAGCATCCTATCCTAAATATAAATAACTATTTGGAACAAGGTTCTCAATTGAACCAGCCTCCTTAGAGCAGAATTACCATGTGTGTTTGTTGGGTTTATTGCATTCACTTACAAAAAGGGATTTAAAAAAGCCAAAAAGCCCCCATAATAAAGCACAACCCTTAAAAAATAAAGGTGGGTGGGACTCTGAACCCCCCAAAGTTGCTCTCCTCATCCTCAGTGGTGTTGAGGGGTTGGTGTTTTCCCCGTGGTGTGTAGATAGATGAATATTCCTGTGCTTCAGTCCTGATGAGGTGCCTTTTTTTTTGGTGCTATCAGCACTGCCCTACAAAGTGAGGTGGATTTTATTTTCATTTCTTTTTAATGAACAGTGCTTCCTCTCCTGGAGTCTCTCCTTTGCTTCCCCTGTCCCTCCTCACCCTGTTTTCTCCTCCTGTTATATATTGTCTGACACATCCAGTCTCTAGAGAAGCTGGTGCAAAAACAACTTATAGATTGGCCCCGTCTCCTGAATTCACCTGAGACATTTTTTTTCCCCACCTGCCACCAGCAAAGGGCGACTGAACCTCAACCAGAGTGGGGGGAAAAACGATGCTAAAACTCTAATTATTAATTTGCTAAGCTATCGTTGAAGCAGCTCATCCCAGTGTTTATTTTAACCTTGATTTCCATTCCAGCCCCCGTGCTCACCACACCACAGTTAATGGTTTGTCAGCAGTTCCATTATAAACCCCTATTTATTATTCTGACAATGGCAATTTGTATTGGGAACAATAGTGCCTGGGTGAATAAAAATAATAGGACTCTAGCAAAGCAACGAGGTGACCTGAGCACATCAGTGAAGTTTTGCCTTCCAAGGATTTTTTTTTTTTCCCCCCTCAATCCCTCACTCCCAGAGCAAAGATTAAACTTGTCTTGCCCATCATCTGTCTTCAATTTAGCTGGGAATTTTAATTTCAAATAGACTGAGGAAAAATCAAGGTAATAGATGAAAATGGGAAATAACACAGGTAGTTTATGGCTCTCACCCTCACTGCTCAGCTATAAACAGTCAGTCCCTGGTGAAATATGTCACTTGAGAACTAAGCCTGTTTGTTCTGATTTGGTTTTCTCTTATTATATTTTTTTTTTTGCTGCTTGCTTTGGGGTGTGGGCAGAGCTGACTGAAATTGTCTGGAGGACACGATCTGAACTTGAAAACACCAATAACAGACAAATAGCAATAGCTGAGCTCTACAGCAAGGCTGGGAGTTTCACCTCATGTGGAAGCCACAAGGCACTTTCTGCTCAAAGGAGCCTTTTTAGGTACTCTAGAAGATTTTTGAAGTGCAGTAACATGGGCAGTAATTTTATAGACTTCTTCAGCTAGGCTAGATTCGTGAAAGACTATTTTCTTCCCAAGCCAAAACCCCTTTTGACCCTTTCAGAGAACCTGAGGCATCTCTCTGCTGTGCAACAAAAAGCTGGTGACTTGAAAAATAAGAATATATTTCATTTTCCAACAGAAGACTTTGAAAGTCTGAGTGCCCCCCATTAAACTTCTCCAACTAGTAAAAGGGTCAGAGTAAAACCAACCCGTGGGAACATCATCATGACTCTCCAGACTTCTTCATAAAACAACTCTTGCTCTAGAAATTTTGGAGACAGGGAAGCCCACGGGCCAAGGAAACAGCATCTCTGCCTCCTGGAACTGTTTCATGCCCAAAGTTTGTAAGGGTGGGGACTGTTAAGTGCCATGTCATGATCTTCCACTGGTGATGGCCACGGCAAAGTCTCTTCCAAGCTCAAGCCCTTCAAAGCAGCCAGTTCAGCTCCAAATTTTGAAATGTCTGCAGGCAACTGTTGTATCCTCCTTAAGAGACTCTTGAGACCAAGTGAGAAAGGTGTAGGTGGCCCAGGTGGGCTGGAGACTTGATATGAGCTACTAAAGACATGTGTGAGGCTGTGGTGGGTTTGCACTCACAGCAGGAGCCAAAGGAGGTGTGAGGATGGGGAAAGAACTAATGTGAGACTCTTAGAGAGGACTCAGGTACCCTGATGACACTTGTGACACTCAGGGTGAGGAGAGGTGGCAGAGGAGCCAACAGAGGATGTCAGGAAGCCAGATACACAAATCCTATCCTTGCTACTGTCTTGTGCCTTTGCAACATGAAAGGACAAGAGGCATGAAAATAAATCCTAAAGGATCTGGGCTGAAGGTCAGAAGAAGAGGAAGGGAACAAGCAAGAGTCTGTGGAGATGTGGGGCTGAGCTACAGCTCATAGGCATTTAGGGAAGGATGCCACATCCTGCAGCCCAGCTTTGCTGCGTGACCTTGAAGGCCCTTTGGACCACTTGAAGACCAATGGGGTAGAGTGGGTCTGAGCTGGGACAGCAGCTTTCCATGACCACGTTTCCTCATGGAGCATCATAAAAAAACCAACGAGCCCATCTCATACCCTGGACCACACGCTCCTGGAGGCTGTGGCCATCACAGCAGGGGAGGCACCGAAAGAGAAGGGTGGGTTTGCTTTGTTTCAGTCTGGACAAGCTGGAATCGACTGGCAGGGTGTGAGTTATATTTGCAAATTTTAAAGTAAACATGAGCTGTAGGAGATTTTTTGTGGGAGAGGCAGCGATAACATTCAGAGAGCTGCAATGGGCCCAGTGAACGGTTTTGAGATAATACAGAGTCCACACCTGGGTAGATAAAGCAAGTATGAGCTGAAATAAAGGTGGCAGAGGGGAGTGGTCACAAAGCACCCTTCTTTTTTTTCCCAGTTTGGGTATGCTGCTGGATATGTCCCAAGAGCCCTGTTCTCTGCTCCTTGGTGAGGAAGAGCTCCCTACCTACTGTTTTCCTTCCTTAGATGCTGCTTAGCATCACCACGTGGTGTGGCAAAGCCCTCTTGCCCAAATATTCAACCACCTTGCTGGAGACTGAGCTGTAGTTCAGATGTAACTGCTGAGGGATCTTCTGTGGGGGGCTGGGTGGTGGGAAAATGAGGTTGATGAGTTTTTTTTTCAAAGGGAAATATGTTTTTCCCTACCACGAGTAGCTTGGAAACAACCATTAAAAATAAGCTTAAAATAAGAACATTTCAGAAAGGCAGAGAAAATGGGCTAGGGGGAGGGTTGAGATGGAAACAAGTTTGTGGTATTATTTTTCTCCAGAGCTTTTCTTCAACCAGTTATGATGGAAGGTAGTTGTGGGAGCTTTGAGTTCCCAAATGTCAAGCAGCTACTGCTGGGATGGCTGGATAGCATCTCAGGCAATATTCTTAGGGATGAGCAAATAGAAACACCCTTCCAAAACACAAAGATCCTTCAAAGATGATAACACCTGGAGTATTGAGCATGGTTGGGTGTTTGCCTCTTAGTTGAGGACTGTAGCATGACCCTCAGCCTCAACCCTTCATTTTTGAGGGGAGCATGCACGAGGTTTCAGGGGGAGTGATGCAACCTTGTGTTGGTTTATCCCTCTTCAGAGACATGATTCAATCTGGCCCTCAAGATCTGGATGACCTGAGCTTTCTTGCATACCTGGAGATTGTTGATGGTGGGTTTTGATGGCTCCACCATCGCTCTGGGCTTCAATGCCCCTGAGTAAGAAGGATGATGAGAAGCATCAACCCTGG